TACCTCAACATTATAAAGGCCATATGACAAATCCACAACCAACATCATACTTAGAAGTGAGAAGCTGAAAGCTTTTCCTTTAAAATTGGAAATAAGACAAGGAAGCTCACTCTCCCTATTTTTATTCAACATAGTTCTGGAGGTCCTAGCCATGGCAGTCAGACAACACAAAGAAATATGAGGCATCCAGATTGGTAAGGGAGAAGTTAACCTGTCGCAGTTTGCAATCACATGATACTGTACATAGAAACCCTAAATAATCCACCCCAAAACTACTAGAATTAATAACTGAATTCAGCAAATTTGCAGGATACAAAATCACTACACAGAAATCTGTTGCATTCCTGTGTACTGATGATGAACTAGCAGAAAGAGAAATCAGGAAAACAGTTCCATTCACAATTGCATCAAAAAGAATAAAATACCTAGGAAGAAACCTAACCAAGAAAGTGAAAGACCTATACCCTGAAAGCTAAAAGACACTCATGAGAGAAATTAAAGAATATACCAGTAAGTGGAAATACATCCCGTCCTCATGGATTGAAAGAATTAATATTGTCAAAATGGCCATCCTCCCTAAAGTGATCTACAGATTCAAGGCAATCCCTATCAAAATACCAACAGCTTTCTTCAACAATCTAGAGCAAATAGTTCTAAAATTCGTATGGAACCATAAAAGACCCCGAGTAGCCAAAGCAATCCTGAGAAGGAAGAATAAAGCTGAAGGGATTATGACGTCAAGCTGTCCTACAAAGCCACAGTAATCAAGACAATTTGGTACTGACACAATGCACGCATAGGCCAATGGAACAAACTAGAGAGCCCAGATATAAACCCAACCATATATGGTCAATTAATATACCATAAAGGAGCCATGGACATACAATGGGGAAATGACAGCCTCTTCAACAACTGGTGTTGCAAAACTGGACAGCTACATGCAAGAGAATGAAACTGGGTTATTGTCTAACCCTATATACAAAAGTAAACTCGAAATGTATCAAAGACCTGAATGTAAGTCATGAAATCATAAAACTCTTAGAAGAAAACATAGGCAATAATCTCTTGAATATAAACATGAGCAACTTTTTCCTGAATGTATCTCCTTGGGCAAGGGAAACAAAATTAAAAATGAACAAATGGGACTACATCAACCTAAAAAGCTTCTGTATAGCAAATGACACCATCAGCAGAACAAAAAAGCATTTTACAGTATGGGTATGGGAGAATATATTTGTAAATAACATAACCACAAGGGGTAACCTAAAATACATAAAGAACTCACACGCCTCAACACCCAGAAAGCAAATAATCCAATTAAAAAATGGGCTGACAATATGAACAGTTTTCCAAAGAAGAAATTCAGATGGCCAACAGGCCATATTATCAGGGAAATGGAAATTAAAACCACAATGAGATACCACCTCACACCAGTTAGGATGGCCAACATCAAAAAAACTAGGAACCACAAATGATGGTGAGGATGCAGAGAAAGGGGAACCCTCCTACACTGCTGGTGGGAATGTAAGCTAGTTCAACCATTGTGGAAAGCAATATGGAGGTTCCTCAAAAAACTAAAAATAGAAATACCATTTGACCTGGGAATCCCACTCCTAAGAATTTACCCAAAGAATACAAGTTCTGATTCAAAAAGATATATGCACGCTTATGTTTATTGCAGCACTATTTACCGTAGCCAAGATATGGAAGCACCCTATTGCCCATCAGTAGATGAATGGATAAAGAAAAGGTGGTACATATACACAATGGAATTCTATTCAGCCATAAGGAAGAAACAAATCCTACCGTTTGCAACAACATGGATGGAGCCAAAGGATATTATGCTCAGTGAAATAAGCCAAGCCAGGCAGAGAAAGACAAGTGCCAAATGACTTCCTCATTTGTGGAGTATAACAAGGAAGCAAAACTGAAGGAACAAAAGAGCAGCAGACTCAGAGACTCCCATAAGGGACTAGGGGTTACCAAAGGGGAGGGGTGTGGGAGGGCGGGTGGGGAAGGAGGGAGATGGGGATTGAGGGGTATTATGTTTAATACACTTTGTATGAGGGGTCTTGGGTTAAGCAGTGTAGCACAGAAAAGGCAAATAGTGAATCTGGCATCTTACTACAGTGATAGACCATGACTGCAATGGGATATGGGTGGGGACTTGATAATAGGGGTAAATGTAGTAACCACATTTTCATGTGAAACCTTGATAAGAGTGTTTATCAATAATACCTTAATAAAAATTTTAAAAAAAAGTACTCTGAGACCTCTATGACAAGGTGATATTTGAAAGATATTCCTGTAAACTCTAGAGTTGTTCTAAAAGTACAGTCATTGTTTATTTTCTTCTGTTCCTTTTATTGTAAAATACTTAAAAATCAGATATTAAGCTTTTTAGGAAGGGGGGACTGTTACAGAAGTGTGACTGTTTCTTATTTGGAGACTCTTGAGTCTTCTGCCTATTTGGTTGTCATGTCTGTTTTGCACCCCTTTCATGGTGTTGGTTCCATGTAATGTGCTGCATTTGTTTTGAGGGCTCGGTTGGATTTATTTATTTTTTGATAAAAAATCTCATGTATCTGTAGAATATCAGAGCTTAAGTAACTCTCTTGGTTATCTAGTCTAGTTCTTATATATTGTAGTTTTGGAAATTGATTCTAAACCAGAGAACTTAGGTCAAATACTTAGGTAATAATAGGTGTAGCCAAACCAAAGTTTTTTTACTTCCAAGTCAGTGATACTTCTATTGTAGCATGGCAGTTTTTGTTTACTGTATAAAAAAGTGAGTTTTGAGATGTTATGGCCTGATTTGATACAGTGAAATTGTACCCATCTATATTAACTGTTAGGATTCTCCTTTTGTTGACATGGAAAACAGTCTCTTTAGAATCCTTGTATTACTCACTCCTGTTTCATTGGGGAATGTTCCCTTTATCTAGAATATCTGCTACATCTTTTCTGCCTTCTCCTATTTTGTTCATCTTTCATTGTATAACTCTTAACATTTCTTCTTCAAAGCCTCCCAGATATGCTTCATTTCAAATCTGTCTTTTCTGTTGATTTTTGGGATATTTGTAGTTTGCACTAAATATTCTATTATTTAATGTATTTGTGATTTATTACTCATTGTTTAATGTGATCCTGTCTCCTAAGATGTGGTAGTTCCTTAAGTGTGCATTTAAATTATTAAGAAAAATCTTAAGATTGTGGTTGAGTATTGATGGAATGTAGTTTCTCTTGGCATGGTATTTCTTGGCCTTGACGCCTTTTGGTTAGGCCTTGATTGATATTTGTTCATTAATTTGTTCAGAAATACCTAATGGGTTTAGTATAAGCCAAGCACTATGCTAGGTGCTGGGGAGAAAGCAATTAACAAACCAGTGCTCACTTATCTTTAGCCTACAGAGTAGGGGAAGGACATATAAGACAGTAAGTTGTTATGATAGAATGAAAAGGGAAAAATGAGCTGTCAATGAAGAAGTAGGTTGTAGAAGTCAGTAGCGAGCGTTAAGTATAGGATGCTATGGAAGTTACTTTTACTCTAAAAGTACCTAATCCAGAAAACTATTTGGGAGAAAGTTTCTTCTAAACCGATGACTGAAAATGAGTTGAACACAGACAGTGATGGTCTTTGAGGATGAAAGTAGTACCCTTGGCAAAAGAAACAGTATACTTACGTCAGTAGGAATAGAGCACGTCTCTTTCAACAAATTAGGAATCAGTATAACTAGATCATGGAGCACAAGATTGAGAATCACCTCATGATCTTGTTAAAGTGCATATTCTGATTCAGCCTGCTAGGGCTGCCCTAACAAATTACCACAGATTCGGTAAACAACAGAAGTGTATTCTCTCACAGTTTTGGGGGTTAGAAGTCCAAAATCAAGTTGCTGTCAGGGTTGGATTTTGGTGAGGCCTTTTTTCCTGACTTGCAAGTGTGTGCCTTCTCCCTGTGTCCTCACGTGGCCGTGTATGTGCACTCACACACTTGTATGCATGCACAATTAAATTAGGTGTGCGTGAGATTAGGGCCCTACTCTTATGACCTCTCTTAACCTTAGATACCTCCCCAAACGCCCAATCTCCAAATACAGTCATATTGGGAGTATGCTTAGGGTTTCAGTACATAAATTTTGGGAGGACACAATCAGTCCATTACAAGCAGGTTTGGGGTGGAGCCTGAGATAATTCTGCATTTCTAAGACGCTCTTAGGCGACACTGTTGCTGCTGGTTTGAGGAACATAGTCTGAGTAGCAAGAGGTATAATTCTTTAATCAACTATACCTGGTCGTTTACCCATAGCTGCTTTAATGATTCACTTTTAAAGGTGAGAGTGAGTCTGAATTCTCAATTCTTAGATGATTTTGTAAATCATGTGTGGTTATAAAAAACCATTCATTACTTATCTGAATAAGTGAAGCTTATTTGAAAAACTGAACACAGAGTATTTCTGTCTTCACCTATGTGTTTGTTTTTGTCTGTTAGAATGTAAAACCATTAAAATAAAACATTTGTGCATTATGTGTCTTTTTAACACACATACTCTTAAATTAGTGCATTTTCAGCATTCCTAGACTTTGATCAGGAAGTAGTCTGAAAAATCACTGGCTTGGAGGACCTCTCTGTGATAAAATTTGTTGCATTGTGTCTTTTATTGCCCGTATTTCTAGTCACAAAATTGGCAGTGGATATTTTACTTTGGTATTATTGGGGGGATCAGATGTATAAATAGGTTTTATTACTGGGAGCCTTATAACTTATTTGTAGTTGCTTTGAATTTATTTTAGGATGAGTAGCTTATAATATGGAGGCATGGTAGAAAGTCAACCAGAACTGACTGTGGTTAGCCACCTAGAATGCTTCTATGTTCAATTTTTATCATACATACAAATCCTGTGATAATAAACATAGTATGTAAATAAAAGTACTGTGTTTGTTTTATTAAAACAAGGTTTGTTCTTAACCTTATTTGTTACTGTGTTACTTCCCTTAGAGACCATGAAGCGTCAATGTAAAGTTCTCTTTGAGTACATTCCACAAAATGAGGATGAACTGGAGCTGAAAGTTGGAGATACTATTGATATTAATGAAGAGGTAAGGAAAACATATGTGTTGGAGATAAAGTGGAATATCTCTGGGTATTATAAAATTGCTTTTGTAAGAAGATTAGTATGTAGAATTTTTTTGTCAGTTTCATTATTCCTTATAAAAATTTTAAGATACTTTAAAATTAAGCTTTAAGTCTTGTATAGAAATAAAGCTTGACTCATCTTTGCTATACCTCATATTTGTATGCTGTATTTGTTATCTGTTGACTTTAGGAAAAAACTTTTTTAAGTTAAAAATTTATGAAATCCATGTACTAATACTAAAAATAAGTCTTTTCTTTGATTCTGAATTCACTTTGGGCAAAAAGCAGTAATGCAGAAGGAATTCTACCTTTTGCTTGGCAAAGGTATACAGAAGCAGAATCTTTTAAAAAAAAAGCTTTGCCTTGTTTGAATTACCACATTCCTATATTAACCAAAATCATTTTTCCCACATTTTAGTGTCTTAGAATAAGATTTAAAAATATTTTAAAAATAACTTCTTATATCTCAGCTTTTACCATTAAAGGACTACTAAAGTTTTATTGGCAGCTGAAGGTGCCATTTTCAAAGTATATGTCTTGATATCATATATCATAACAGGAGTTGACTTTATGTCATAATATGCAATGTAAGTTAACACTTAACGTTTATGTTAAAATTCTGATGTATTTATATATCAAAGGTAATTCTTTTTTATTTCCACCAAGTGGCAATATTTAACATTTATTGAGTCTATTATTATGTTTGAAGCAGTATGCTAAGGGTTTCACATTTGTTATTTACTTTAAATTATAAACAACCTAAGGAGATAGGAATTTTTGTCCCCATTTTATATATGAAGATTGATTCACAGAAGATAGCGTGCTTGGTTGTTCCAATTACTATTGCTGCATATAAAGCCATCCCAAACTTTGTGGCAGAGAGCATCTGTTTTATAAGGTTCCTGAGTTGTGTAGGTCAAGAATTCAGATAGGGCACAGCAGGGATGGCTTCCCTTTGTTCTGTGATGTCTGGGGGCCTCAGCTGGAAAGATTCAAAATTTGGTTCTGGTAGTATTACAGGAGGGCTCTTTCACTGACATATCAGGTACCTAGAAGGCCTGAAGATTAGGACTGCCTGTGGGGAGAGAGCCATTGTGTAGCTCCTCCTTTTGGCTTGGCTTTCTTACTGTATGAGGGCCTCAGGATAGTTGGATTTTATGACATGGCAGGGCAGAGCTCTAAGTGTAAGCATTTCAGTGAACATGGTGGATAGCATTTTATAATCTAACTTGGAAGTGATGGTGTCACTTTGACCACATTTTGCTGGTTACAGGTAAGTCATAAGCCAGCAAGATTGAACAAGGTGGGGGGACAAAGACTTCCACTTCGTGATGGGAGGAGTGTTGAAACGACATTGTAGATGCACGTGTGGTTAGAAAATCTTGTTTTAGTCATCTTTGCCCAGATTCATATTCCTGGCAGGAGAGGAGCCAGAATCCCAATCCACACAGTTTGTTTTTGAATTAGTGTTCTTTAGCACTATATTACCCTGCCTCTTAAGGATTCCTTAATAAGAATTATTATAGAGTTATTTACCCTAAGTAACCAGTTGTTGCTAACTTGGGGTTCCAGATGTAGATAACAGTTTTCTGATGTGCCTCTCTCTTTGTTGTGCCTGTTCCAGTTTGGTCTGTGCATCCCTTTCACATGGGGTTTGAAGAACTCCCAATCCTTGGGGGCCTCCTTATGTCTTCTAGAAATTCTGAACTATTCACACTTGCTATCTTTCATTTCTCCCTCAAACAGCTTGTATTCTAGTCATCTTGTATTCCAGCTATATATATTTTATGAATAAGTCCTTTATTTTTATGTTACCATATTTTTCATATGCTTTGTACCCAGAAAACTCTTACTCAGCCTTTAATATCCAGCTCATTGTCATTTCCTTTCAAGTGAGGCTTTTTAAGCCCTTCCTATGTGCTCCTGGAGCATTTTGTTCTTACTTTTGTTATGGCACCTCTTGCATTGTATTGTTAACTATCTGCTTATTGTTTATCTTCTTCTTTAGATTGTTTCATTCAAGGACAGAGATTTCTTATATGCAAATTTAAGTCTTTCCTTAGCAGTTGACACTGTGGCTTGCACATAGTGCCTGTTGGATGAATAACTACTAAAGTTTGCTTTATTATGAGCTGAAAATTTTCTTAAACATAATTTAAAACAGGAAAAAGTTTTGATATCGCATGTACTGCTGTTAAGTGAGTTTTTACCTATTAAGACATTAGTATCCTTAGCAGAAACTGTACATTTTTAGTTATTAAGTATTATTAAATAACTTCATAAAAATTGGATAACCTCATTATTAGTGAAACGTATAAATTTTTTAAAGAGCTTGATTCCTAAGGATGTATTTTGTTGGATAGGGAGTGTTTAATAAAGCGTGGCATCTGTACTTTAAAAATATGTTACTCTTCTTCATACTTGGGTTAAGACTCATTGTTCAAGTAAAAGGGTTAGTAATTTTATATGCCATTTAGGAAGTTATGTTCTTATATTCATCAAATATTTTCCAAATCAAAATTTCAAAATACTTAAATAACATGTCATAAGTCAAGGCTCAGTAGTGTTTTAAAGAGTGACATTCCAGAGAGAGGTTATCTACTTGCTGTTAATACATTATTATTGGTTACCTGATACTTTTATGAAATTATTTACTTCATAGATTACAACTGATTATACATTCTCAGTGTAAATGTTGCAAAGTGCTATTGATCTATGACTAATCCCACATATAATTAATCCAATCCACTTAGATTTAATATACTTAAAATATTTTTCACTCTTTGTTTTTAATTAAGAGATTTAAAGGAATTAGTTTGCATCACTAACTTTGTGCTCATTCACTTCTGTAGCTTAACTTTTCCATGGGAAAAGATTTTTTACTTTAGAGAAATTTTTATTATTTTTGAGTTGTGAACTCTTTCAGGTAGAAGAAGGCTGGTGGAGTGGAACCCTGAACAACAAGTTGGGACTGTTTCCCTCAAATTTTGTGAAAGAATTAGAGATAACAGATGATGGTGAAACTCATGAAGCCCAGGAGGATTCAGGTAGACTATTTAAAAAATTTGAATAGATTTAAATAAACCTTATATACAGTGTTTATTTTGTATTTTTTGAAATTCTGTTCTTACTTTTGAACCAGGAACTTCAGCTTATCTACTTTAAAAAAAACAGCTTGTGACAGGGACTTCAGATAAACTATATATCTAGGCAAATAATTCAGCAGTTTTCCTTCTCTGATGTCTGCTTCAACCTGAGGTATATCTTTAGTATCCTGATTATAAAGTGATACTACTTAAGTTATTATTTGATTTATTCTAACTTAATATATACATATATACCATTTTGATTTGAAGTTTGCAAATGGCCTATCTACTTCAGAAGTTTTAGAATTGAAAAAAAATCATGCTTTTGTTGTGTGCCATATTCAGATAATAGAATTTTTTCTCTGTGCATCCAAAATGTCATTTATTTTGTGACTTCTGTCATCTAGAGACTCGCCCACAAATTCATATTAAATTTGCTCACCATTCTAAAGCATGCTTGAGAAAATTTTTCCAAAAGGTAGATGAATTTTTTTACTTTTAAGAATTGCTGTGGATCTAAGAGGTTTTTTGAAAAGAAAAATTCTTACATGGTAATGCAGGAATAAGTAGATATTTTTCTTTATGGAACAGTGCATGTAGTGAGGTTTAGGGATTTGTGTTTGCATTAACTAGTAGTATTTGGCAACTTTTTAATGATTAATAGGTTCATAGGTATTGAGTGGTAAACATAAAACCTTAAGGCTGCCAGTATCACTGTTTCTTTCAGAGCCAGTATAATGTCAAGGTTTGAAGATTGTTGTTTTAGTCCATTCGGGCTGCTGTAACAAAATGCCACAGACTGGATAGCTTGTAAATTTATTTCTCATAGTTCTGGAGGCTGGGAAGTCCAAGATCAAAGCACCAGCATGATTGATTCTGGTACAGTCCTTTTTCTGGTGTGTAGCTGGTAACTTCTCACTGTGTTTTCACATGGTGGAAGAGGCCAGGGCTCTCTCTGTAGCCTCTTTTCTAAGGCACTAATTTTGTTTCTGAGGGCTGTGCCCTCATGACCTAATTATCTTTCAAAAACCCCACCTCTTAATACCTGTCACCTATGGAGTTAGGATTTCAACATTTGAATTCTGAGTGACACAAACGTTTAGACCATTGCAGGTATAAATCATTCAAATCAACAAGATAGTTGTAAGGTTACCCAGATTGTTTCTTTACCTAAGACTTTCTGTTGTGTTATACTGGTACACTTATATGCTTTTTAATCTGTCTTTAGATAGATCATGCTATGATTTTGGGCTCCCATGATGGCAGGGACTTGTGTTAGTCATCTTTGCATTACTGTAGTTTATTTGTTTACAAAATGGGAGTAATAATTTTTACCTAAAAGGGTTGTTATGTGATTTGGCAAGATAGTTCCTAAGCATAATGCTTGCAACATAGTAGATTGTAGTAGGTCTGTAAGCCTCAGTGTGCTTAATGTAAGAGAATGAATTTTAGAAGAAAAGTATCTAAATATTTTTACATTTACTAGATGGTAGTATTAAACATAATTGATAAGAGGTATTGAGAAATCATTGTTGAGAGTATTCCAAAAGTCTATGTGATGTTTTTAGTTCTACCATTTTAGACCTTATTAAGAAAGTTCATTAAAACTGTCCTCATTCATAATTATAGTTTGCAGTTTTTGAGAAGATTAGCAGTTTTTTTCCTAATTCTTTAAGTGGTGAGCCTTTAGAATAGCCAAGTAATCAAGTGGTAGAATAGGGCATGAAGTGATAGAGCAAGCTTGCAAACATGTAGATGTTCAGCCAGAAACTGCTAGTACAGTACCCTCATTTTATGGCAGAAAACCAAAATTTTGAGAAACCATGACTTATTTATTATTCTACATAAATATTTTCTTAGAAGAATCAGGACTTCAAAGCTTTTCTGATTCTGATTTCATTCCTATGTACTTTTACACACTATTTGTCATATGGCTCTCTCCTTTAAATATCTATGATATTTTTTGGAACATTTTTTTTTAATTTGGAGAAAAAATTGCAAAGATTGAACAGAGCCCCCAAAAGCCCTTTACGCAGATTTGGCGATTGTTAATATTTTGCCCCATTTGCTAATTTATCATTTACTTTGTCTCACATAACTATAGTACAATTATCAAATTCAAGCTATTTAATATTGACAGTATTATATAATCCACAGTCCATAAGATCTTTAGCCTTGCTTTGTTGCTTTTGACCTTACTTTGTATAATGAATCCCAGTTTGGGCTTTTCTTCTGATTCTTCATGATTAGTTTCAGCTTATATTTTATGGTGGAATATGAAGTGATGATATTTCATTGCCTGGTAGCAGGAGGAACATATGTCTGTGTGTTTTATTACTGGTGATGTTAAATTTACTTGGTTAAAACTAAAACTGTGCTGCCACTGTAAGTTTACTGTTTTTTCTTTATAATGATAAATGTCTTATGGGGAGATAACTTTGAACCTGTGTAAGTATCCTATTCATCATCAGACTTTCCCCTAACAGTTTTGAGCCTGAATAAATTTTGCCAGAATCAGTTACTACTGTGATAATTGCAAAATGATGATTTTCTAATTCCATCATCCCATCTGTGTTTATTACTTGACATTCTTCCCTAAAGAAGAATGTTTGTTTATCAGTGTGGACTTATGAGTGGATTCTTTTTTTTTTTTTTACTAGGTATTAATCTGTTACTGTCATTATTATTTATTTTGGTGCCACCAGATTTGGCCAGTGAGAACTCCTTCAAATTAGTTTCTGTGACATTTTGAAAGATAAACTTTATTGGCAGTATAGTTGACATACAATAAATTGCCAATTTAAAATACACCATATGATGAATTGACAGACATATACATCCCTGAAATCCACAGCCACAATAGATCTATAGAACATTTCCATCACTCCCAAAGTATATGTCATGCCCTTTTGTACTCTTTGGGGCATGACATTCTGTCTCTGGTCCCAGGTGATCATACATATACTTTTTGGTCATTATGGATTAGTTTATATTGCTGTGTCCTCTTGACGTGTCTCCATCATTTTTTGAACACTTTCTTAGTTTGTGGTACAAGATATTTCAGGCTTGTTTGAACATTCCCCACTCCAGTCCTGGTTTCTTGGTTTAGACATTGAGATCTGAGTGCAAGTGTGCTCATTGCTCCTGGGGTGATACTGTTTCTAGGCCCTCTGAGTGGATAAAATGGGAATGCTTATACTCACTCACTGGCTCACTCACTCTTTTTCCCTCTCCTCCTTCCCTCCCTTTCATATTTGTATCATCCATCTGTCTGTCTTTCTGTATGTCTGTCTGCCTGTCTGCTTATTCCTACAGGTACCTCTAATTCCAATTTAGTACTATAGGGCACATTCTAGTCTGCAGTGATTAAATTTTTAAGCCCATCAACCATAGAGGTGAATGAAGTGAGTACTTCAGTTTGCTTACTTTTAAGGGAATTGAATTTTTCTTAGTTTTAGTTATCTGTACTTTGCAAGTTCAATTATATTGCCTGTAAATATTTGCTTTTATATTCATTCATGAAATTATTAGTGCTTAAAAAACAGTATTATAATCTTTGGTGTTATCAGTAGATTGTGATGGGTATGGAAAAAAGGCATAAATTAAATTTCTGAAAAGATGTAGAAGAGACCTTGGATTTTAGAAAGTGACAGGAAAAAAATGTTACTTCTCTTACATAGTTGTACTCTTATTTATTCTAGGTAGTAAACAGTATGTAACAGTTCTAGAAATGAAATCTAGGAATAATGAGTAAGATATTGAAGAAAAATTTCCAGTTAACTATAAATATACAAAATTTTCAGGTAAGGGTTTTAGAAAATTAAGAAATCAATTTTAGTAATAATGAGCAATAGAGTAAAGATAAAATTTAATTTGATGAATTGTTTTAACTCTGCTCTGAGATTTAATAATAAAATAATGTGAATTTAGGAAGAAGTAGAGATTGGTTAATCAAGTAAATATTTCTTAAATGTTTTATTGCTAAGTGCTGTTTTGGCTTTCTGAGGGTACAGAGTCCTTTCTACAGTCCAGGAGCTTAAGTTACAGGCTGCTGATGGGTAAGGCAGATGTGAACTCAAGTTAAGTATAGTTGAGTCGAGAGTAAAATGATTTGAGTACCAAAAGTGTTGGTGGAAGATATTTCTAAACAATACAGTTCACCCTTGAACAATATTGGTTTGAACTATGCAGGTCCACTTAGATGCAGATTTTTTTCAATAAATATATTGGAAAATATTTTGGGGATTTGCAACAATTTGAAAAAAAACATTTTATTTTTTGTCATTTACATTATTATTAGACTACATATAACATACAAAATATGGTTAATTGTCAACTGTAAGTCTTCCGGTCAGCAGTAGGCTATTAGTATTTAAGTTTGTGGGGAGTCAAAAGTTACACATAGATTTTTAACTGTGAGGGGGTTGGTGCTCCTAATCCCCCTCAAATTGTTCAAGGGTCAATTCTACATTGTTTGCCACTTTTTCTAAAACTTGCTTTGCAAATTTTCATCTTCGCAGAAATATTCCAGGAAACATTAGAAATATAGTCTTAACTCTGATTGCAACTATCTTAGCATGGTGTTAGTTCTAAATCCTGTTGTTTCCCCCATAATTGTTCTTTCCCTTGTTTTCCTCTACGCAAACTTTTCTGGGAAAATTTGTTAATTGTTATAAAACACTACATAAAATGAATCATCTTAACTATTTTTTAAATACAGGGTTCAGTAGTGTTATGTATAGTCACATTGTTGTGTAACAGATCTCCAGAACTTGTTTATTTCACAAAATCAAAACTATACACATTAAACAACTCCTCCTTCCTTGCTCCTGAAACCATTATTCTACTTTCTCTTTCTGTGAATTTGACTACTTTAGATACCTCATATAAATGAAATCATACAATATTTATCTTTTTTGTGACTGATTTATTTCACTTAATATATGCCCTCAAGATTTGCCCATGTTGTAGTATGTAACAGAATTTTGTTTTTTTCAGGTTGAATGATATATCATTGTATATATGTACTACATTTTGTTTAGATATTCATCTGTTGATGGGCGTTTTAGTTTCTTGAACCTCTTGGCAGTTGTGAATAATACTGCTAAAATGTGAATATGGAGATGTAAAAGATGCCACTTTCAATTTGGATATATACCCGGAATTTCTGGATTATATGGTAATTCTGTTCTCACCCTCAGCAACCCTATTTCCTGTTTTTCTTTATATTAGTCATCCTGATGGGTAAGAGATGGCAGCTCATTATGATTTTGATTTGAATATCTCTTAATGATTTGTGATTTTGAGCATCTTTTCATGTGCTTGTTGACTTTTTATTTATCATCTTTGGAGAAATGTCTATTAAAGTCTTTTGTCTGTTTTTTAATTAGGCTATTTAGCTTTTGTTTTTGGTTGTAGGAATTCTTTTTGTATTCTGGTTATTAATCCCTGATCAGATATAGCATACACATTTATTTTCTACTATTTTGTTGATTATATCCTTTGATGTACAAAAATTTTTATGTTTAAAGTAGGTAGCCTCGTTTGTCTGTTTTTTGTATTGTTGCCTATGCTTTTAGTGTCATATCTAAGATATCATTGCTAAATCCAATGGTTATGAAGCTTTTTCCGTGTTTTCTTCTAGGAATTTTATAGTTTTGTTTTATGTTTAGGTCATTAATCCATTTTGAGTAAGTTTTGTATATAATTTAAGTTAACATGTGAATATCCAATTTTCCCAGCAACATTTGTTGAAGAGACTGTCTTTTCCCCAGTGAGGGGTCTTGATACCCTTGTTGAAGTTCATATGATGAATTCATGCAAACTTTTGTCATGACATAGGTGTAGACCTGTTATACATGTTCATATGCCTTCCCTTTCCAATAGATTGTCAGCTGTGTATAGCTAGAGACTATTTCTTATTTTTCTTTGTTTCTTCACTGTTTACTATAGAGGTCCAAGAAATGAATAAACTGTAATCTGCTTAATTTTTATTCCAGAGTATTTTCTTTTCTTTTATGTCACTTAGGTGCCTTTTTATAGTGCCAGCACTTTGGAGGAAGAATAGTGTAAATAAAAATTCATAATTGGTACATGGAACAGTTAGTCTTCATACCAGTTGATTATGTCATCTGTTTCCTGGAACACAAGGGAATGGTACTGATTATTTCCAGAGAGTAGATGAATCTTTGTTAATTGCATTGTTACCTTACTTGCATGGAGCTCTGTGTTATGAAAACAAAATCAAGGCCTTGATCATCAGTATTTATGGATGACTACTGCATTCCTAATCTGACAAGCCACCTTGATTATATAGAGGGTGAGAGTATTGCTTTCTTATTTCTTGGTTCATAAACACCTTTGAGAAGCAAACAAAAGCTTTGCATTCTATGAAAGTATACATAGTAATCATAAGAAGTACATTTCTACATATTATTTCATGTGATTTATAGTTTATATACACACAAATATAGCTAGATAGTATGTTCTCATGGTTTAAAAGTCAGTATTAAAAAATATACATTAGAATACTTGTCACATTCAACTAGTCTCTTCTGCTTTGTTTTCTCAAAGTATTTGTACTTTCTTGTTATCCTGCTAGTGTTTGTTTATGCAGGTACACACAAAAACATGTATTTGTGTACTTCCTTCTTTCGTAAACAAAAGACAGCATACATAGTATGTTATTCAGGATATGCTGCAGTGAAAATAACCTGAAAATCATGGCTTACAACAGTGACATAGCCACTTAGGGACCTGAGACTGATAGAGACTCTTTTTTGACATATGGTTCAATGCTTGCACAGGTAGGGGAAAAGGAACTTGGCTTTTCTCCTACCACACTCTCATTTTTACTCCTCTGTGCCTTTCTGTCCTTTTTAATTTCCTTGCTTTTTATGAGGAGTTAACCATATTTGAGAAATGACATGATAAAGTCATGTTAAGCAGAGCATTTTTTATTACTAGGTGTTGCAGTAGGGTAGGGTGTGGTTGGAATGTTGCAATCAATCTTTTTCAATGCAGATGGTGAAATGAATATTTGTGATACTGTATAAACTGAACCCTTAAAACGTATAAAATTTAAAGTCCCATATGGGACCACTAGCAAAATAAATTTAAATTTGGATATAGTTCATTAGCTTTACAATTATAAATACTTGGAGCATTTTCTTGCACTATTCATCTTTATTGAATTTTAGTAACTTCGCAGATTATATCCGTTAAAAAGGTACTTCCTTGCTTGCTTAACCCCTTTACAATACCAGTGCATTCTAAATATGGAGCTTTGTGATTATATATATATTGGGAGTCAGTGGTTGATGTACACTATAATTCCTTTTCTTTTTTAACTCTAATTTTTTGACAGAAATATTTTGCATACTGATGTGAATGCCAAGATATGAGTGGTTAAGAACTTACAACTTTACTAATAAATGCATATACTCCTTTAAGGTTTAAAGAGTTTGATCTTAAATGCATTGTGACTTAAAGAATTGTTGTCCACATACCTGTGTCCTTATGAAGTCTGTCTATAATTGATGGTTTTATAGTCTTTTTAGTCAGTAAAATAATGTATGTTTCTAGTAGCTGTTACAAGAATTATAATTGATTGTATATCATAAAATGTTATTTCTTGCTTACAGTATTGGAATGCCATATCCACCACATTTGATTATTGCTAACAGTTTCTCCTTACACTCTTTTTCATTTAGTAGAGCTCTTCTTTTCATCAATAAACAAATATATGGGATAATGTTCTTGGTTCGACTGGTAATTCTGTAGCTATTGCTGCTAAGAAGATAATTCTGACTCTAGATAATAGGTGGTCAGTATTATCTGAGCCTTCATGGGTAATTTATTCTTATTACCTCAGTTTTTATTGAAGAATGGTAGAAGAAAAGTTAAAAGAAAGCTACAATTATATTTTTATATGAATTTATAATCTACTCTTAGTGGTTTCTGTATAATATCTCAATATAAAATATCTTCTAATATTAAATTTCAAGAAAAGTTTGCTTCTCTAGGGAAATGTTATGTTTCCATTTTTATAATGAAAGACTCATTTCACTTTGTCAAATACCTTTCTTGTTTAGAGTGTCCTATTGTCATCTTTCAGATTACACTTACTTGCTGAGTAGAACTTGGTTCAGTTTTCCCCCTCACTCTGTAAAGCTAGTGACTACAGCTACCAATATTTTCCTCCCTTGTATAAATCTTCTCCTCACATAAGCCTATAAAAATCTCTATTTAGTTGTCTAAGAGGCATTTTAAACATAAGGTGGTTAAGGCTGATACTCTGCTCTTTTTCTGTGCACCAAAATCTGTTCTATCCAGTCTTCCTCATCTGAGTTAATGGCAAGTCCATTCTTCTTTTATTTAGAACAAAGAATTGGATTCATCTTTTACCCTAATACTGTGTACTTGATTCACTTGATAACATATTTTTGTCACCTACTAAATAAATGTATGGAGCTATTTTCTTTCACTACCTCCACTACTGCCACCCAGTGTAAGTTACCTTTTGCTGTATAATTACAGGAGCATGTTATTTGCCATTACCTCTCTAGTGAATGTTTAAGTGCTCACCCTCCACATAGAGTAAAAGCCAAAGTATTTTTAAATTGGCTGCACAGACCTCCATGATCTGACACCCCCATGTGCCTCTCCTGATCTCTATGACTTTATTTCCTACTTAAATCTCCCCTTTGTTTACATTGGTCTGCTTACAGCCTTTGTACTTACTGTTATATATCTTTCCCTCTGAGAGATCTTTACGGCTCAGGATTCTTTCAGGATTCTGCTCATAAGTCATATTTCCAGTGAGGCCTTTCCTGACAGCTCTGTTTATAAAACAGCAATACCTCCTACTCTATAATTCCTTTAACATCTTTGATCATTCTTTGATGCATTATTGTTACATATTATTCCTTATCTATTTCCTTATGTTTGTCTACTCCTGCATTAGTCATCTCTCTTAACTCCTCTTATCCAGGTCATTAACGATCTCCTTATTCCTAAATCTAGGATTACATCCTATTTCTTATTTTACTTAACCTCACAGTAGTATCTGACCTTACATTCCATGCCCTTCCTGAAAGTGTCTCTTCCCCTGACTACCACACATTCAGAGGTTTCTTCCTGCCTTGTACCTTTTTGGTCTAAGTTATTTGATCTTGGCTCATAGTGTAATGTTGCTACATAGGATTATATTCTGCCCCATGATCTTTTCTGTTTTCACTCTGGACAGCCTCCCTAGGTGATAGGAGGAAAGGGGGTGAGGCAGTAGATAGAGTAAGTGTAAAGCTTGCAGCAGATGAGAACAACATATATTTAAGAATGTTTCTCTAATTACAAAAAATATTAGAAAGGGAGAAGTGGAAGATGTAAATTCAGAAGAATAGGGTTTATCACCAAAACAGATTTACCTGGAAGGTTAGGGGTACATTATAAGTATCATGATTAGTCTTAATTGATTGGGGATAAATCAGAGTTAGTGCTGAAAGGCTGAGGGAGAGATGTCCAACTTCTGATTTCATCTATATGAAAGGAGAGATGCTAGGAATGAGGTGCAAAGTGGAGAGGTCAGAATTTTGAGGAGACTAAAATGGACTCAACAGGGATTGTTAAAACATTTTGAGCCATGCATCCCTCTGGGCTTCACTGGGATACTAGAGGGATGCATGACGTAAAATGTTTAAGAAACCTTGATAAATGGTTCTTTAGGAGTTCTGGTCTCTTATGGGTGGGAAGAGTTATTCTCTTAGGAAGAGTCAGCTGAGGTTTCACTTGAATATTCAGGCTCCAGAGAAAATGATAGTTCTCTTCATTTCCTCCTTCCTATGCCTAGAAGACCTGGTCCTTAACACACCCTTGTAGACATCTTGACTAGAATTACCCCAACCTTCTAGAGACTTCTTGGAGAACATCTCAATCAGGTGCAAACGTATGGTTGGGTGTGCAGGGAAGCTTAATACTAGAAAGTGAAACAAAATGTTACTGTTGAACAATTTCAACCCAAAGAGAGGGGCCAAGTATTTCTGTCTGCACCAGAGTCACCTCTTAGTCCCTACGGTGCCAACTTCACACAGACAAACAGAGGACTTTTCCAATCTGGCCTTTTCTTTTCTCCTCCCCCTTGATCCCTCCCACCCTTTCCTTCCTCTTTGCTCTCTGAAGAGCACCCAGAGGAGCACTTTCTGGGCCTCTGGGCCCTGGGAATCACTACTGGCTGCCTCCAGAAGTGTCTCCAGGCTCTCTCTTGTTCTAAGTCCTTCAAATTCTTCAGAGGAGGGACACTCAGAAACACAGACAATATTTTCAGCCACAAAAGAGAGGCTACACTCATTTGTCTGTATGTTTATAAAGGGGGCCCCAGCAAGGGGAAACAGTATTTTGCCCTCCACAGATACAGCAGTGACTCAACTTCTTATTCTGCTGCCCCAAGGTGTGGGTGGACAAATTATTTTTCTTGTGATAAATGTAAAGTAGACAACCATTCTTTCCTTCAGATAACAAGGTCACACTCATAGTCAAAATGGGTTCTCTTGTCCTAGTTCAATTAAACTCATAATTTTATATAGGCTTGTAAGGATATACCAAACCACAAAACATAGGTCAGCTTCATCCTACTGGTCTTAATCAGAAAAATATATAATGTAACTGTAAGGGAGGATATTGAGAGCGACATTCCATGACAAGTCCTTAAGCGATGTGATTGATTTCATGGCTTTATAGCCAGCCCATTTCCCCAAGATTTGCTGTGAAAAGAGATGCTTGCTATTTTTCTGGGTGCAGGAAGCCCAGTGCCCTGCTCGGTGGGAATGCACATGGCACACCCTTTCAGTTTCCATGGTGTAGTGATCCCCAGGAAGCCAATCACTCAGCCAGCTCAGGGTGTCCAGCTGCCAAGGCTCTTGGGCCAAAGGACTTTACCTCTTTTAATATAGGTACAAATTTCTATGAGGGGCTTAAAACCTTCAAAGTAGCTTAAATT